CTATTCTGTGACCGCTATCGCTAAGCTGTGACCGCTATCGCTATATGCTGTGACCGCTATCGCTATATGCTGTGACTTCTATCGCTATATGCTGTGACCGCTATCGCTCTGCTGTGACCGCCAGCGCAATGCTGCTAACCATTTTTTGCTATATGCTGTGACCGCTATCGCTATATGCTGTGACCGCTATCGCTATATGCTGTGACCGCTATCGCTATATGCTGTGACCGCTATCTACTGTGATCAATACTTGCGGATACTCGGCTGCTGGCGGCGCCTATCCGGAAGGAGTGAGCTGCGTAGAGATGGGGAGACAGGTTACGAAGCAGCAGTACGGACTTTAGTTGGGCTCTGAACCCGTTGGATGACGTTGGGAGGTGATCGGGGGTGAAAAATAACGGTCCGTTGAGATCTCCTTTCCGAGAGCGGAGGCGAGTGTAATACATCGTGGGTTATCTTTGCGCGCTGGGAACGTGAGCGTTCGCATCACGTTCCGTCAGACGCTGCGGCAGCGGAGAGTGTTTGAGAAGTGCGTGCCGCCACCAGAATCTTATTGCTTCACTTACTTTGCTTCGTATTGCTTTGCTGGGAGCTTGCGAGGAAGCCAGTAGACGTTGTGCAGCCAGGATGGCGGACGCGTCTGGGCTGATGTAGGCGGAGAAAGCCGAAGAGGACCAGCGCCCCAGCTGTTGGAGAGGTGGGGGAGCCCCAGCGAGGCCGCGCGCGTGGCAGCGCCTATCCTGAAGGAGTGGGCTGTATAGAGCTGGGGAGACAAATTGCAGAGGAGCAGTAGGGATCTTAGTTGAGCTCTGAACCAGGTTGCTGTCATGGGAAGGTTGTCTGGAGAGAGATGTGTCGGAGCGAGCTATTATTATGTTGCAGGCGCCTTGGTCTTTGAATGTTTGAGATGAAGGTTGAAAGGGTCAGGGGACATTATGTTGGGTGAAAAGAGCGACCTTTGTGTAATGCTTCCACTACGTCGAGATTATCGCGCATGACAGAGATCCTCTTTCTCTGCCACGTGTGATTCCACAGCGCGCAGGCCACGACCACTGGGAATGTCTCGTGTAGGGCAGAGGAGATGCTCCGGTGGAAGTAGCGGCCACGGCCCGGCAACCCAATGGTCCTGGAAGAATCCCCCAAAACCCACGGAAGGGGCACGTCCGTGTAGAAGCGGAGACCTGTAGGGGCAGAGACATATCGGAGAGGGCCATTGATGTTGCAGGCGCCCTTACGCTTAGAATCTTGGGTTGGAGAGTAGATAATCAGGATAGTAGGATGGTCGGGAAGCCGCGTCTCGGACCGCATGAAGGTTGAGCGAGCAGTAGTGGACGCTTATGCAGAGAAGTCATAGAAGGCGAGCAGGAAGATGCTGCGAGGAGGGCAGACATGTACTTGGAAGACGAGCCAGAGTTCAGTGCCGCTCAGAGCCGCTGCAGGATGGGCAGCGTGATGGGGAGCCTGCGATCAGAAGAGTGAAGAATACAGGTATGGATGCCTTTGATTAGGAGTCCGATTGACGGCTCAGCGCAGCTACTCGGCCGGCTGCATCTGATAGAATCAGAAGATGAGGTAGAGAGATGAAGCATGACCGCCGAAGCGACCCTGGGAGCATAGGTACGAGGCCAGCGCAGCGCGGCATATTCAGCCGGGCTGCATCCATTAGAAGCAGGATAAGCTTCTGAGAGAGTGGGTTGCAGCAGTAGCGGTAGCAGCAGCGGCAGCAGCAGTACCTCAGATAATAACAGCGATAACCTGTATCAAGCCGCGGCGGCAGCAGCAGCAGCAGCAGCAGCAGTAGCAGCATCCTTAGAGATTACAGTAATAATCCTGTATCAAGCCACAGCAGTAGAATGTTGTCGTAGCTGATCAGTGTTTCAGTAAAAGAGATGCAAGTGAAGAGAGATGGCAAGTAAATGAAGCAGCAGTAGTAGCGCAGTAGCAGTATGGAGCAGCAGCAGCAGCAGTAGTAGCCGTATGAAGCAGCAGCAGCAGTAGCAGCAGCAGCAGCTGCAGCGTCCGTAGATAATAACAGCAATGATCCCGTATCAAAGCCACGGCAGTAGAATGTTGTTGTAGCTGTTCAGTGTGAGGGATTTCAACAGGTTTTTTTACGGTCCAAGTGATTTAACAGTTTTACGGTCCAAGTGAGGGATTAACTGAGCCCGCAGTCCAAGTGAGGAGTTTAAACAATTTTTTAATTGTATTCATTTATTTATTTAAATTTATTTATATTTATTTATATTTATTTATGTTTATTTATGTTTATTTATATTTATTTATATTTATTTATAATTATTTATATATGTTTATTTATATGTATTTATTTATTCATTTATTTATTTTTAAAATATAGCGTTCCAGATATAGGCAGTACCATATATGCAGTTCCATGTACTGCATAACAGTTCCAGGTATAACCGTACCATATGAGCAGTTCCAATATAGCGGTTCCATATATAAGCAGTTCCATATGAAGCAGTTCCAGATATAAGTAGTTCCGATATAAGCATTTCCAGATATAGGCATTTCCAGATATAGGCATTTCCAGATATAGGCATTTCCAGATATAGGCATTTCCAGATATAACAGTTCCGTGAGGGATTAACCTGAGAGCTCACAGACCAAGTAAGGGATTCATTTTGGGAGCCGCAGTCCGAGAGAGATTTAAACAGCGCTTGCAGTCCAAAGAGAGGGATTTAAACAGAGCTCGTAGTCCAGGGAGGGATTTAAACAGAGCCTGCAGGCCAAAGTGAGGGATTAAAACTGAGAGCATGCGGTCCAATGAGAGGGATTAAAACTGAGGTCTTGCAGTCCAATGTGAGGGATTAAACGGAGCTTGCAGTCAGAGTGAAGATTTAACGGAGCTTGGTTAAAGAGAGCCTGCAGACCAATGCGAGGGCTTTAAACTGAAGCCTGCCCACCAGCACGGGGCCAACTGAGCCTGCAGGACAAAGCGAGGGGAATAAACCGTCCGCGGATCTCATGCTTACCCACAGCGCCAGAAGACAAGGGACAACACGACGGGACCACACCGTACCGGCACAAGGAGGCAGGGATGCGCACGGCTCCCACCGC